AAGGACACTTTAAAGGTCTACTCTACAAAGGACAGGTGTGTACGGTCACATACAGTACCTCGTAGGATCAGTTTACCCTATCTCTACTTCCTGCTACACAGAGCCTCTAAGTGCATTCTGGAAGTGCACAAACCGTTTTCAATTGCCAGAGAATCTTTGGCAGATTGTGAAAATGAGTTCACTAAAAAGGTACCCTTATTTATTTTGGGAGGTAAGGGTGGAGAAAGAGCATTTCCAGAGAGTTATAACCTAGGCTCAAGAAAAAATTTCATCATGACAAGTTTATCTTACAAAATTGTTTCTTAAGGATTTGGTGGTTAAACCAAGCTTGCATTCAGAAAAAGATCATTGGGAGAGGTCCCAATAAAAGTCTTCAAAACTCATAAACTTTGACTCTTAGTCAGTTACATGATTTCGTCCAAATTTTAAATAATATGCAACAAACCAATCACAGAACTTTAGCTACAGCTCGACAGTCTAAGTGACGGATTACATGTTAACATGGCTGGCAGTCGACAAATCACGCGTGACAGGCCAGGGTTTGCAAGCAAAGTCTAGGCTGCTGACTCTGCCACTCATTTCCCTCTAGATGGCTCTGAGGAAAGAGACCCACTGGCTGTGAAGCTCTGGATAAAGAAAGGCCTGAGGCAACTGAATATTTTGTTTCCTCTCATTCCTACCCGTTCTTCACTGGCATCCGTTCCTCCTTTCCCTCTCATAGGGTAGTGCTCTCTCAAAGGATGTAAAACAGGAAAACACCAATTCAGAAAGCTTACTGCCATCTACATAAATCAAAGCTCTAATGATCTAGAGAGGGTGTGAAATGAGAAGAAAGGGGACAGAGTTGGTTTAAGACTAAGCTATCTCGTCATTCATGTATGTACATGACACGACAGTAATAAAGGACTTTAAACCTGCTGATCATCTCACAAATAGAGTAGTGATCCATAGACCATCTGTGGGTATAGGGAAGGGAAAAGAATATGTCCAGTAGACTGACTCTAGCAATGATCAGGAACCCAAAGGCTTAGTTTTGGCACCCAGGGGCAAGCGCAGTGGCAGAGAAGCATGCTTGCATTCTTAAATATATAAATATATATATATATATATCCACAAGGAAAAAGAAAATAAAAATTAAATAAATTATATTTAAAAAAACCAAACCAAACCAAAGAAACAGAAAAAAAAAGGCTGGCTTGTCAGGGGGTGGGGTCGAGAAGGCCCCAGTGTGTGTACTTACATAGAGGTCAGCACCGTAAAATCCGTCCTGGTAAACCACACTGCAGAAAATCCACACAAAAACAAAAACAAAAAAACAAAAGAACAGAAACACATTCCGGTTATTGAGGACGGCAGCATGCACATGCGCTCTACACGGCAGGTGATGTATGAATACACGCCCTGGGCTCGGCCATTGAGGGAGGAAAGTGGACTGTGCACCCACGTTACTCAGCTCCAGGACATGTGCGGAGGGAAAGGAAAGCAAACCTGCAATGAACCACTTGAATGTCTGGTAATTAAAGTAAGATGAGAACAATAAAGAGTATTCCCAGAGGGCCTAATACAGCTATGGGAAATCTGCTGGATTGGAAACATCAACTTTTCATACCTGGAGTATTTTTTAAATTAAGAGGAAGTTTTTCTTTAAGGAGTGTCAAAAGATGTGTGTGTATCTGTGGGTGGGTGTGTAGGGGCTGGCATAAAGAGAGGGGTTTAGCATAAAAAAAAAAAATGAACCCACAGAATTCCATTAAGGCGAGACCTAGGCAAAAGTATATTTCAAAATTATGTTTAGTATTTTATTTTATTTTTGTAGTAATATGTAAAATTTTTCTGATATCCATACATCACCTGCTTTTTACCCTGCACATTAGACATGCGATAAGATTTGGCTGATCACACAAGCATGCAAAGTATTATTATTCAGCATTTTAAGAACCAATGCAACACCTCAGAAAACAAGTCAATCAATTCTGACCAAAGTAAACAGAGAAATGTAATTAAAAAAAAAAACAACAACAAAAAAAAACACAACCAAAAATACCCACAATGCATTGCTTTCACAAGCAGAGATAATGAGCTAATAAAGGTTAAGGTGATTGGTCCAAGGTCCAAGAATTGAAAGGTGCAGTGGGGATCCCAGATAGTAACAATATAATCCAGAGTGGGAAGGAGTAACTGGAAGATTTTAAGGGTTCTTTTTTGACCATAAGAGTATTTATGGAATTCTTAAAAATACAATTATTAACTGAAGTTCTGGGCATGACCTGTTTTATTTAAAAGAATAAAACTGAAAAGGTAGTTGATTAGGAGTTGAAGGGTTTATTTTCCTGCTTAGAAAATTAACTTGTATCAAACCAAGTAGCTGATTCTTTTTGTTTTAATCCTAAGCGACACTAAACTATTAAAATTAAAATACAGATTTCAAACTTTTTGAGATATTTTGTGCATTTCTGCATATAATTTCCCCAAAACATTACTTTGGGACCAAGAGACATGGAACAGTAGTAGAGCTAAAAGATAAGACTTCTTCATATTTGTTAAATCAAGATTTGTCTATTTTAAATTAGAAGATCTGTTTATTGTTTATTCAACTTAACAAACTGGAAAATTTCATCACTACCTTTTCTGTTACAATAAACAAGTTAGCAAGTAAAATCATCACATCACTTTTTTAACTTAAATATGAAGTCACTTATTTCTTACAGGTAGTGGGAAAGTTTCTGAATTCTACTTCCAGCGACATGTTGTGTTTACAGGATAGGAGGGTCACACTTGGCAAAGCCCCCAATATGCTGTGCCTTTGTCTTACACGACAGGCAAATTAAACTCATCCGTGATTGTTCATTTAGCTAACGTCTATCCATTTTTCACAGTCTCCAATTGCAATTAAAGAATGGTATTAGAAAGTAATCTGCTTTTCTACTGCATTTTGTAAAAAAATAGACTTGTTCATAATGAGAAGTCTAATAAAATGCAAAGTGTTGATGCCAAGTTAACCTTCAAGATTAGTTAAACTTCAAGTATTTCAGTATGGGGATACAGGCAAAGACTGAAAAACATTTCTTCTATAGAGGAGAGTGGTGGCATTAAAAACATGAATAACTTTTATACTAAGTTACATCACTTACTGGGAATATTCACCTAAATTCTAGAAGAATTCTAATATTCCCCATATCAAATGCCACAAGGAGACTAGAACACAATGATTAATGATGAAATTAGTTTACTAAGCTGAGAAGCAATTTTAGCCATTCCCCATAAAATACTGGACTTATTCCTTGCCATCTTCCATGTAAATAGGTGGTTCAGTTAATAAAAAAGAAAACATGGGAAATTAGTGTTCAATGTAATGCATAGAAATTGATGTGACTAGACATAAAAATAAAAATATCTTTGAGCAAATATATACCTGACACAGACTTGGTAGAGAATGGGTTCTCAAGTTTGGCCAATAGACTGAAATGACCTACATTGAACAAGAATGAATTGAACCACTTTGTAAAGCAACTCAGGAATATTACAAAATCAAGTCCCATGTTTCTGGTGAGCAGTATCTCTTTGCAACCATGACAGTAAACTCTCTTGGACTGAAATGGAAGATGCTTCATGAACAACTGTCCTAGTGTGTAGAATTTCCAAAAGGTTTGTTTTTATGTTTTACTGAAATATTTCTTGATGAAACAATACTACGTCTTTATTTACTTCTTTAAAAAGAGATGTGAGAGGCTGAAGGTCAAAGGTCAAGTTGAGAGAAAAAAGGATAAAACTAAAAGCAAGTAATGGCAGAAGATGGAGATGATGGAATGCATGGGAGTTAAACATCTATACACTGCAAACAAAAGTTTATTTCTAAAGCAGTTCCCTTCCAGTGGCTTCTGGAGCCTGCCCACTTCAACATGCATACTTGTCTCATCTACTAAAAATGCTTCCATTCTGTGAAATAGGGGACTCCTAATGGCATGTCCATCTGGTCTAGGAATGAATGCTAAATTAGCACACCTGAAAGCCAATTTTTCTGTCAGAAAAGGTCCTACAAAGCAGGTTCTTTCCCTTAAATTTTAACTAAGTAGCAATGAATAGACTCCTCCACCACTATGTTTATTCCTCCACAAGAATATGGAAAAAAAAAACCTGTTACAGGTAGAGAAAAGGTGAAGAATACAAATGTCACATCTTTGAGGAAGGAAAGTCCTTGATACAACTAACTTATAAAAAGTCCACTATAAAAATATACATTCAGGCTGACACTGAGAAACAACTAAAAACAAGGCCTGCCATCTTCACTCCTTCTCCCTACTCAGGACAAAGGATTTATTTGTTGCTATGGAATCATTCCACTGCATGAGACACCCTCCACACAAAAATCAAAGGGTGAAGGATGCTCAGCTACATTAGTTGTTTTACCATCATTCAGAAGCCAACTGTAGTTTAATTCTTCCTACTTCTCCCTTTCTCCCTTGATTCAATTGGACTTGGTTCGTCTTTGAATTAACCTCTTTTAATCCGTTTCCTACAAAGAAAGCAAATCCATTGTGGGTAACTAGCTCTGCTGTTCGCCACCCAGGCAGTGAAACCACAAGGGAGGGCACATGTGACAGCCTCAGCCCCAGCCCAGGGTGGTGACGGGTGAACACAGCAGATGCAGTCTTGTACTACAATCTTGAGCTCCTATTTTGGTTCTCTGCAGTAGTGTTAATTCATATTCGTGCGATGCTGAGTGAACTCCATGCCAACACATTGCTAGTAAACACAAGGCAGTTCTGGCTACTGTCTTAAGCCGCTACCTTGAGGGCTTAAGGTGGCCAAAATGAAGATTTATATAATGAATTGATATTTGTTATATTCTGATGATGGTATATTTTGGTTCTTGCCATCTAATCCGTTAATTTGCAAATATTCACAGAATCTCTACTATGTGGCACGGCAACATCCCAGGATTTATAAGAAGGCCATAGTATTTTCTTGTCCAATTGCTTACTTTAGAATCTAATACTTACCCTGGATAGGCGGGAATGGCTGTTGGAGGTACTGCTCGGACTGCACCATAAACCGTCCGTCCCCTGCCCCTCAGATGGGCTCCTCTGAAAGCGGCCGCCGTGGTGGCTGCAGTTGGGTAAGGGAATCCAGGAACTAAAGGGAGACCCAAAATATGACAGAAATGTCAACTTGCATTCAACAAGTAGGTGTACAATCACAACTTGCTTTGCACCAACCACAGGAAAGGTTAAAAAGTATGTACAACATGTTTTCTGAAAAAAGAAATGGAAAGAGACCCAATATGCAAAAGCTCATGATAGCAAGCCTCGTTCATCAAAAATCTTGAGGTTTCTCTGCTCCTTCCCAATTCTAGCGTTACAATGCAAGCTGGCGAGCAGATCAAGAAGCTCTAAGAACTACTGCCACACTTTTAATTTCTGTGGACAGTTTAAACGAACTGCTATAAACCCCTAACTGGCCAATTATTAATCTTGTTTCCAACATTATTATGTGCAAATCAAATTATCCTAAGAATATTCTTTTGTGTTTTTACATGGTGTGAAACTCCAAGGCACACAATAGTTTTCAGGCATTTCATCTCATTAAACAACTTTACTTCTTTATCTAAAATGTTTTAATCCAGAAATGTAAGGAGAGAGGAAACTATGTCTCCCTTAAGTCCTTACATCCTGTAGAGGCAGCCACTGTCAAAGGGTCTGTGTTACGTGTGCTATCCTCTGGAAGGCATGCAGAGACACTGATTCCATGTCCACTGAACTGTCTATAACTCTTGCTAGAGCAAAATGGCTCAGGTCAAAGTAACTCTGAGATATCAACAGAGCTGAGAATAATCAATATTCCTGGAGGTGCTTTTGAGTGATACTCTACCAGAGGGCCCAAAGCTGACTCGTAGAGAACATATATAATATATTCCACAAATACTTACTTCTTTTGTTTTCTTTATTATCAAGTACAGACTAAAATGTTCTTTACATGCTCTCATCCCCCTCTGCTTTTTCCAACTATTTATGCTTTGGTCAGACAGATCTAGCACAGGCTAAGCAGAACAAGGCATTGTGACAGTATTCTCTCTCCTGGGAAGGCTTCCTTTTCAGTTATGTATTCTACTTGGGGGTAAAAAGACTTCTAGTGTATATCACTGCTTACTCACAACAGTCAAAATCTATGCCAGGCCAATATAGGCTACTTACTGATTAAAGGAATGTAAGTGTTAATGCCCCCTCTTCCTGATAGGGGAACTGCCGCTTCATTGCCCAGGGACACATCTGCTTGGAAGCTGGATGCTGATTGTATTAAAAAAAATTAAAAATGCAAAAAGATTACAAAGGAATAGAGAATTGCAAAACAACTGATGTTGTTACGGTTAAATAGCACACATGGAAAAATCAACTTAAATACTACCTGCATATAACTCGGGGCCATATACAGCTCCAACTACTGGGCTTAATTTCCAACCTGAAATGGAAGAGGAGACGATCAGTTAAAATGGCATGAGGAATACAGGGAAACAGAGTGATGTGCAGTTGGCTTCAGACACCTCAGGGTTTATTTTGGTCTACTCTTAACTTTTATTTAGAACGCTAGTTGGGGTTTGTATGAGAAAGTAATGTCTTTTCCAGACCCGATTATCTTTTTTTAAAAATAAATGTTTAAAAATATATATGTTTTTATTGATTTCAGAGAGAGAGAGAGAGAGAGAGAAACAAGAGAAAGAGAAATATCAATTTGATACCTCCTACAGGCCCCCTACTGGAGATCAAACCCACAACCCAGACATGTGCTCTGAGTGGGACTCAAATGGTGACCTTCCAGTGCATGGGACAATGCTCAACCAACTGAGCCACACTTGCCTGGGCAGACCTGATTATCTTTAAGCAAGACTAGCACAGTGAAGGGATAATGAGGGCCGGGGAAGGGGGGGGGGGGGGAGAGGAGTAAAGGGAAAGAGAGAAAAACATTGGGAGGGAGGGAGGAAAATAAAAAAAGGACTGACAGAAGGAAAAATCAAACAAACAAATCTTAGGGTTTGGTACAGTGTCTCTCATTGAACTGCCTAATGACTCCTTCTTTGTTTAGAAAAAAGAAACAAGGCAGAATACTGTCTACGTCATTCTATACCACACTGTGATACACTTTCTTATATATCATCTTAACACTATTTACTATTCTAATTGTTTTATAAAGGTATTCTTTGACTGAATTCAAATTTGATCTGGATCTTTGAACTTCATGTTTGATTATACAATGCTGATGGGATTCTGGGTAAACTGAAATCGCCTTTCATCGGGATTTCACTGGGGTTAACCAAGTCAACAAGGAGAAACAGGCAATAATAACATTCAAGCTACATTCCCAACTTCAGTGCATCTATTCTGAGATTTTAATTTATAAAGAATACATTTAAGTTAATCACACTTTTAAAGGATACTAGACTGCTATTGAATATTAGCATAAATATTTATAAATTTTAAGTATTTATAAACATTAGGTTTGGTGTCAATTATATTTCTCCATTCCCTTCTTATATTTATAGGAATATGACAAGTGTTAAGTAAAATGTATACTGCCCATGGTTAAAGATTAGAATTACATATAAAAACTTTAGTTAATAAATATTTATTGCATTTTACACACAAATAAGCAAATATGCCCTATTATGTTTCTGAAAGACTAGTTCTTTGGTTTACTTCTTTGATATTAGCTTAAGGGCCTAACACGTTGTGCCACTGCTATTCCATAAAATTATAAATAGAAAGAAGAAGAAAATGTCAATTATCAGATTTAAATGGCTACATTATTCAAGAGAAAACCTATTCATTTTGAATCAATCTAATTCCCATTCATTATTTTATGTGCTCACAGACATGCCCTTTCATTATTCTACATAAATATTGGGCCAAATCTGGGTTCAAATCCTACTGGAGTTGTAAGAGCACAAATGTCCTGTAATATCAAGACAAATCAAGTGATTCCAACCACCATAATCTAAAATGCTGAGAATTCACCAGAAGGGTACCCAGTACACTTCTACCACAACCTTTAACGCTCCAGACAGATTTCTAAAATGTGGCTCCATTAGACTTGAATATCGATTTATAATATTCAAAAAGGACCTTCTTCTTTCCTACCAATGGCACTAATATTACTTAAGCACTTCCTTTAAATGCATATAATGGATTCACATTATAATAATGGTATACAATGATATGCTGTCAATATGTTGAATATATTTAGTTTTGTACAATTTAGAATACATTTTCACAGATGTTTATGCCATTTTGACCTTCACAAACCCAAGATAGGTACTACCTATGACAATAAGTAAGTAGTATATTTCTCTGGATTGCATTTCCTAAATAATAAGCTAAGAGGAAGAGGGTTGGATGTTGATGACTTCTAAAGGCTTCCTGATGCTAAAATTCTGATTGCAAATTTATAGAGATGGAAACAGAATCAGATAGGTTAGAAAACTGTCTTACTGTCAACAGAGTAAAATGAAGAGTCAAATCTAGAAGTAGAATTTCTGTCTTCTGAATTCCAATGGCTCTTTCTGCCCCAACATTCTTCCTGGATCTAAAGGAAATCTGACATACTTTGTCTCTCCTTATTTCAGTCTACATTGGGTTTATATAAAAATTGCAGACACTTCCACTTTTGTGATAGCGGTGAAAAGAAGAGAACAAGAGGCATGGGAGGTGGTGGTATCACGATACACCACTGATAAAATAAGTAGGGACAATGCAAATTATGCTGATCTGTATCATCTATTTGAAAGCTGGGTTAAATATATTTCTTCCAGACTTCGTGGGATACACTCAATACTAATATACTTCCATTTGATTTAAGACATTACCAGCACATACTGTCACTTTAGCAGTTAGGTTCAAACTTTCACAAAGCACTAAAAAGGGAGAAATTCTTTTTTTATTCTAGATAAATCCTGCAGAACTAACTCTAAAATATACAACAGAGAATGAGTTGCTCAGACCAAAGCAGAGCTGGAGACCTCAGGACCCAATGCATTCAGTTTCCCTTTTTCCCAAGATGGTCCTATAGAATACAATTTGCAAACCACTGCTGCATAGGCTAATCTCATTTAGAGAACATGAGTCTAGATTAAATTTGACAACTGATGTAAATGTTTTGTTTCTGTGAGACAAGAGTCACAGAATATTTTCTTCTCAATGAAAAATATTTATAAACTCAGTATATGACATGTAATCATGGAATAGAAAATAGCATGCATGTGCACGCGCGCACGCGCACACAGACACACCCACACCCACACACACACACACACAAACACCCACACAACCCATGGCTGTTAGCTCTAGAAAAAAGGAGGGCAACGGGGGTCAAGAATTATTTTACTCATGTTCAGATAAATAACAATTAGCAGTAAAAGTGAGAGTTGGTGAGCATCCAGGGGTATTATGGACAAGTCTAATAGTGTATCACAAAGAACTATGGCAGATAAAAAAGAGAATGCTCTAGTTGGACCTAACTTGAGTTAACAGGTAACCTCAAATGACATATTCACACTGTGTATCAGATGAACTTTACTAAGAACATAACACCTTAACAAGTAAAAAAATTAGCTTATTTCTAAGAGAAAAGTTAACCTCTAAAAAATACCCTTCTAAAGACAACATTTCCATGTGAATGAAACAAATTGTCTTAAGACTAAAATCAAGAGAGATTCTTTGATATGTATGAAAAGCTCACATATTTACACATGAATAAATGACATCACTGTGAAGATGACTATGATCTCTTACCATTTGCATATGGTGTGACCATCTTCTTATTGGTCATCACACGTGCTGTAGCATTATTCACCTGAAAATAGAAAGAAGGGGTGGGGGTGGGGGTAAGCAGACCACATTAAGGAACATGATGTTACTCATCCAAACACATAGTACTTAGTTTAAAATGTAAATTTCAGAGAGCATTGATTTAAATAATATGGCAATATAAAATATTAATATATAGTATTTTAATTAAAGTGTTTATTAAATGAGGCTAACAAGAGTAAAATGCAGTTTCTTAGACTCCCAATGGAAAACTAGGGCCACTTTAAAGTACTCCAAAGAAAAAATACATTTGTAAGTTCTTTGGAGACCTCTTAAACAGAGAAGTTTCTGCATTAAGAAAAATACAGGAAAAGAGTAAATTAGAAACAACTCTGTTTTCACATGAACTCTGAAGTTCATTAATAAAACAGAGGAAATAGATTTACAAAAAGATAAAATAAATCTGTGGATTTCACCTATTCTAATGTTCACCATTTTTGGTATGTTTCTATAGTTTGAAGTTAGTCAACAAATATAGGAACTTAGATTTCCGTGTTGACAGTCTTCAGAACCATTGTGAATTTCCTAGACTATCTGTTCTATCCATTAATAAATACAGTTTTCAGAAGGCCTTTAAATCAGGTACATAAAAGAACTGAAAAAAAAATAAAGCATACGTTTCTTTTGTTTTATGGTACTCTCCACCCTCATTACAGATTGGCATAATCTAAAGCATTCTCAGTGAGAGGGTATGAAAGTATTTCTGATGAAGAAAAGAAGCTTAAAAGCCAGGGTACTGCAACCCATCTCTGACAGGAGGTGAAGTCTCACCAAAGAACTTGATTATATACTGTGTTGTCAGGTTATAAAACAAACCAGTTTTGAAAAAAATAATCAAATATATAAAATATAAATAAGTCTTATTTTGCTTCTGGGGATTTACATAAGGCTTAATTTGTATAGTGATAAATTTGTGTTACGAAAAGTCCAATTTTAGGTAGAATTGGAACTAAAAAAATGTTTTCATGTGTCTTTTAGGATTTGTATAGTGGTAATATTCCTATGTCAGGAAAAGAGCTTGAAACTCCATTTACTCTAGTTTGACCCACCAAATAATACAAACATTTCACATTTAAAAAGAATGGGATACAACAATGATGAGACTGAGAGCATGCTGTTAAAAAACACACACACACAAATAAAAGAAAGGAGTAAACAACCACTTGGGGGAAGAAGGGAGAAAGTGAAGAGCAAGGTGCTCACGGACAGGAATCAGAATGAGGCAAGAGCTTACACTAGCTGCTAGAGCAGAATGCACCCAAGCACTTAAAAGAAAATTGGCCAGAACCAATCGGAGGCCACCAGTCAGCAAAAGAGATCAATAGCTGCATATAACAGAGAAAAGGGTAGGAAAGGAATAGGGGAAAGGACAGGAACAGCACTTGGGCAGAGAATGAAAAGGCAGGGAAAAGTAAAAGTCAGGGAGGGCATCACGGGCAGGAAGGGGAGCCATCAAGGGCAAAGAAAGAACAGTCACAGCTCTAAACACAGGTTTGGGAAAGAGGAAAAGTAGGAAAGGAAGTCAGGGCAGGAAGTGCATTAATAAAACCAGCCAAACTGGAGTTCAGTAACTCTGAGTAAGATGTGCAAAGGGAAAAATCATCATGACGCCAGTATCAAACAGCTCAGACTGCTACAAAACAATGTACATCCAAAGTCCAGGCGGCATTACTCAACAGCATTGAAAATAAAAGGGGGAAGGGAAAGGAAGAGGAGCAACAAGTCAAATCACATTTGTCGTGTTAATGTGAGATGGCAGATGGACTTTTTCTTTCTTACTTAATTGTTTTGTAATTACATTTTATAAAGCTTCTTCTCTAGTGCTTTGGTTTCACTTACCGCCAATGGGCACCATCGCCAGCATTGTGTATAGTTACCATGGAAAGAGGGAGTCAAGTGAAGGGCCCTAAATGCTAAACCATTGGAAAGGGAGGGGAAAAAAAAAAGCAAAATATGCAGACATCTTACTCAAAATGGTGGCTTTTATATTTCATACTTTTCAAAACTGGGAAAGGGGAAAGGAGCCAGGTAACCTTCACTGCCTCATTAAGTAAGAAGGGCTGGCGAACACCAGGTGCTGACTCAATCACAATGACAGCACATTCACCAGGCAACCGCCAAACCCTCTGCTTGAGGATTGTATCCATTAACTTGAAATTCTTGACATTAAATATATTTGATGAGTTTTGGATTCTTTCCTCCCTCCCACATCCTCTATGATCTTCTATTCCTTGCTTATTACACACATGTGGAGGTGAACTGGCCTCCAGACAGAGAGAGAGAGAGAGAGAGAGCGAGAGAGAGAGAGAGAGAGAGAGAGAGAGAGAGAGAGGGCATTGACTGGCTTCTTGATTTATTATAGGACACAATGTTATAAATTGGATAGAGACAGACATTTTTAAAGTTAGTTTTACTTTGGCCTGATCACAAGAATTTGGAGTCTCGCATACTGAAGCAAAGGAAAAAAATCAAGAGAGCAGAAGGATGAACACTTTGGAGGAAAAAAGTAAATGAAAAATACACATACACACACACACAAGTAAAACAAAATTAAGATCCCCAAACAACCAAAATAGGAAGGGAGAAGGGTAGAAGTGTTACTTTTATACATTTTAGTGCAAGATGAAGGACACAGAGACACAAACACACATACATGTATGCACACACACTAACAAGACAGGGCTTCAAATGTGAAATAAGTAAGGCAAAACACAAAAAGAGAAACAAAAATATAAACCAGAAGTTGAATTATTGAAGACATGCACCTCGATTTTACGGCCCTCTACCACGGTGCCGTGTAATTTCTCCCTGGCCCTGTCTGCATCAGCACTATTCTCGAAAGTTACGAACCCGAATCCCTGCATGCAGCGGGAGAAGGGGGAAAACATGCACATCGTTATATTGAAATACTGATCTCTTGGTAAATAGAGAAAAATATATCACAGTATGAAACTGACATCAGCAACAACTCAGCAATATGTTCCCGAAGTCACATTTTTTGGACCATGCATATTTTGTAAAGGGAAATTAAATCCAATAAGAGAATAAAGAACTGTAGTGGTAGTAATAATAATAATATAATTAACAATAATAACAATAATAAAACATAAAGCACGTGAGGCCAGACCAAAATTAAGGTACAGAGTTACTCGGGTCAAATTAGTAAATCAAAAATCTCAGTATTTTTTTAAAATGTCCTACTGTTCTCTCTGAATTCCTGCTGTTAATATATATATATATATCCCTTTATGTAATACTACAAAATACTTAATTAAATCGATTATTCCCTAGTAACTTCTACATGAAACTTGATATTTAAGTACAATCATTATATAATGAGATTTTTAGGAAGTCTAATCATTTGAGCTCCCACTTTTGCCTCTTGCTTATACCAGCATTAATTCCTATGGAAACAGGATAATTAAAGACATAATCTTGATGTACAGCTCTGTAGGTACTGGGTGTGGTAAAGAAAAGCACTTATGTTCATCTAAGCAAATGAAACTATCACTAAGCAGTGGTCAGCCACTTATGACATTTCTTCAGTGACAATTTTAAATGACCAGCCTGGCACACAGAGTAAATAGACAGGTCTGAGCAAAAGTAGGTTTACAGTTGTATGCACGAGAAAGTTTATTCTTGTATTATTTTCCATATGAACAGCTATAAGCCTACTTGTGCCCACCCCTGTATGTTCAGCTGAAAATTGCTTTTCTAAATTTGTCTGAGTTGACATCTACATCTACTACTAAATGTATTATAGCAATTTTCCACATATAAAGAAAAAAGGAACAGTCAAAAAGGCAATGAAAATGAGATCTACGTTAGTGACATCAATTGCATACTATTCAACAAGTAAAGAATATCATAAAACAGCAATATAGTTGCTACCTTGAGTTAGGATTAATTTATTTGTGTTGGAGATACTGAGAACAAAAAGAAAACGTGGAGCTTTACTTCACTAAGTGGACAAAGCAGGAGACCAAGGAGGGAACCATCTTTATTGTTCACATTACATTTGAAAAGGCCGTATGGGTTATGACAGTACTGGTAACTTCAACATCAGCAGGATTTACTGCACGCAGCTAGTTCATAGAGCATTTTATCCATTCCACCGCACCTCATTTAGGTGCAACTATACAATTTTTCTCAAGCTGTTTACATCTGTGAAGTGGTAATTCTTAGAATTTTTTGGAAAGGGTCTCATTTCTTAATAGTGTCACTGTTCCTCTAGAATTCTTTGACTGTTCCATTATTTATGTTACTCAAGTTCTGCTTTACAGCTTAATACCATGAGTTCTCCTATATACACAAAACATGGTCTTAACTGAGATGGTAAACACTGTGCATTGCTCAATAAAATTTTATAAAAGCAACTCCATCATTTTGAAGGATCTCATTACTCAGCACATTCTAAATGATTATATGGTTGGGATCACCATAAATTCCCTAGAACATGCAATGCTACACTGATAGAAAATTTTAAACCTATGTTGCTTAGGATAGAATATTATGGGTAAGTTTGGTTAATACTTCACTTTAAAATGTAAATGTGTTGAAAATATCAATGGGAACACATTTTGAAAATCAAATTTTCATGTCAGCTTCTATTGGTATTCAAGGGCAAGTTACTAATTAATTACACCATTTGTTGTCTCCACTAGATCTGCTTTAGACAGGAAACTAGTTCTTCAGTTCTGGAGAATCCTCCAAAAAGGTCTATCTTTTCAGAGACATCACAGATAGGGATGGGTTTCTTTTGTTTTTGTTTTTTATCCTCACCCAAGGACATTTTTGCATTTATTTTCAGATAGAGCGGGAGAGAAGGGGGAAGAGAAAGAGAAACATTGATGTGAGAGAGATGCATCAAATGGTTGCCAAACCAGCCAGGGCAGGGATGAGTTTTTATATCACATTTTATAAGTATTATTAGCTGTAATCCAATTGACTGTCATAGCCTTATACATTTTATGCCTTGGGTTAAATTAATAAATTAGTACTTAGAAAACAGATTATGTGCAGACTAAAGCTGGGTTTATTTTTTTGTTTTGTTTTTTTATCCTCATCCAAGGACATTTTTCCATTTTTGTTCAGATAGAGTAGGAAGGAGAGAGAGAGGAAGAGAGGGAGAGAAAGAAACATCGACATGAAAGGGACACATTGAGTGGCTGCCTCCCGCACAACCCCAACTGGGGCCAGGGACAAACTGCAACCGAGGCACACACCCTTAGCAGGAACCAAACCCGGGTCTCTCTGGACCGCGGGTCGACGCTCTAACCGCTGAACCAAACTGGCCAGGGCTAAAGCTGGGTTTTTAATTTGAGCATTATGACTATATCGACACACATACATACATACATATATACATGTTTGTCCTTTATATACAACTATGGGGTAGAAAGGCTAAATCTGTTGGTTTCATCTAGAAGGTAAAGAAACTGAGACGAACTGAGGTCAAGTACTCAATCATCAACAAGGCTCAAAGCATCAACAAGGGCTTCTTCCTTCCCTGTAGCTTCTTCCTACAGCTAACGGTAAGGACATTAAAAATTCAGCTTTAAAATCTAAGTTCAGTATTCTACTTACTAAAATACATTAGTCCTAAAGTCCTTTTAATTTCCTTTCTCAAATCTAATTGTTAAACGTGTGCTATGGCCCTCCTTTCTGGAACGTGTGGGTAGGACACCTGTGACACCGTAACTGTACATCCAACGGAACACAGGGTGTCCCAAGCACTGACTGTACGATCAGCAATGACCAAGTTAACAAGGAAGCCCGCTTGTAAGATTTCTGTCCATACTAACTTTAATGTTCTGGATCAAAATTTCACTCTGAAACGCTTTAAAATTGTTTGTTTGTTTTTTTAAAGTGCTTATACATCAAAGGAAATGCTAATCAAGATATTAGAGACATGAAAATAAAGCCATCATTAGAGGCATCTTCACCTAGGGTAACAGGAGGAAGGCCCTGTTGATACTTTGGGAGCCCTGATATGAAACAGAGGTAAGAGGATTTCTTTCTTTCCTTTGAAGATAAACAGACACTGTGGCAGGCAGAAAAAGGCCCCCAACCCACCCCGGTCCTAATCCCCGAAACCTGTGAATATGCTACCTTACATGGCAAAAGGGATTTTGCAGATGTGATTAAATTAATGATCTGGAGATAGGGAGATTATCCTGGATTATCCAGGTGAGCCCAGTGTAATCACAATGGTGCCTATATGTGAAAGAAGGAGACGGGGGGTCAGGATCGGAGTGGAGCGCCCTGAGAAAGGCCGGACTGGCTGCTGTTGGCTCAGTGCATCTGGAAAGGGCTGCAGGCCAAGGAGCATGGGCAGCTTCCAGACGCTGAAAGGGGCCGGGAAGTGCATTATCCCTAAAATTACTGGAAGGTGCAGCCCTCCAACACTGATTTTAACCTGGTAGAACCATTCTGGACTTTTGTCCTAGAGAACTATAAGATAATAAATTTGTGTGGCATTACACGACCAAATTTGTGGTAAGTTGTTCAGAAGCAATAGGAAATGAATATACCTCACAGAATTAAAGTCTGATTAGGATGGTGAGAAGCATAATCAGTGTTTTGTTTTGTTTTGTATCCTCACTCAAGGACATTTTTTCATTTATCTTCAGATAGAGCAAGAAGGGGAGAGAGAGGAAGAGAGAGAGACACATCAAGTGGTTGCCACCCACACGACCCCAACCTGGGCCGGGGACAAACTGCAACTGAGGTACGTGTCCTTAGCGGGAACCAAACCCGGGACTCTCTGGTCTGCGGGCTCACACTCTAACTGCTGAACCCAACTGGCCAGGGCATAACCAGTGTTTTTAAAGTATTGGTCTTAAAATACTTTTCTTTTGTGTTGACATTTCAAACAGGTAATTTTCCATCAACTCAACTTAATGCTTGCTTATCTATCACATTTACAATTTGGTTTCAAGAATATTAATTCAATAAAGCCTGAAAATTTGTTTTAATGTACAATGTTCTTCAATGAAATGTAACATTTTTGAAAATGTGCCAGGAATTGAGCTAAGGATATTCACAGGTTATCCAGGCTTTACTAATAGGAAACCATGCTTACATGATATTATGTTTTAAAGTGCCTTCATTCTTAGAAATCTAATTCATATTAAGTTTGGCCACTCAGATCTCTTGCTTTGAAAGAAACGAATAATATTATTTCTAATCCTACCACATTTTCCTTAGAAGAGCTTCAAAATGAGCATTCAGTGTATCAAACAGGAAACATAATAACCAGTCTGAATAGCTTTAAAGTCAAACTAAGATTTAATCTCAAACTCTTAAAAAGAGTAAATATGTCAGCTATGTAAGATAAAAAACAAATAAAATATAAAATTTTAATTTAAAAAATGATGTTGTTATGTTTGTCAACACCAGCACAATAAGACAGAAATATAATTTTAACATTTCCACATATATAATTGAAAATATTTTACTAGCCACATTAAAAAAAGTAAACCTAAGTGAAATTAATTTCAATAATGTATTTTACTTAACCTAATATATACAACACATTATCATTTCAAACTGGCATAGATATAAACACGTTATTAGTGAGCTGTTTAACATTCTTCTTGTGTTAAGCCTTTGAAAATCGGTGTGTTTTTCACTCAAAGCACATCTCAATTTAGACTCATTTCAAGGGCCCAACACAGCCACTGTACAGGACAATGCAGGTCTACATGCTTCATACTCTTTTTTTTAATCCTCACCTGAGGATATTTTTCTATTTATCATCAGAGAGAGTGGGAGGGAGAAAGGTAGAGAGGGGTAGATGAAGAGAGGGGGAGACAGACAGAGACAAACATTGATGTGAGAGGGATACATCGACTGG